CATCGCTATTATTAGGTCGGAGGCCATCGGTATTATTAGGTTGGAGGTCATCGCCACAAACATAAAACATATATACTACTGTCTAATGACTTAGGCCAACGTGATGCAAGTGACATACCAATCTGGCTACCCCCAGGGCTAAGTCATGTGCCCTGACATATCGAGCAAAAAAAATGTCTGGGTTGGGAAACCTGGTGTCATAGGACCTGTGGACACCTCCTCGACAAAAAAAGCAAAAAAACAGCTAAATAATGCTAGATACCACTGCCTGGCACCCTGGTGACACAGTGGTGACATAGGGTGCGACTATGTGTTTTTGCGGGCGCTGCTTCCTTGAATACCTCATACATATTTCTATGAATATCATGGTTATGGCCTGATGACATAGGCCTTAAGAGGAAATGCCAATGTTGGATCAATCCTGATGACATAGGCTTTTGGAATTGGCGTGTATGTCCGACAAGTCCTAAGTTACTAGTCAGTAGTATATCTCAAAGTGCAGAGAGCAAAGCACTTTGTTTGCTGCCACGGTGGATGGGCCTGATGTGGTTCAGTTCCCGGAGGCCCCTCATTGCTGTTCGAGAGAACTTTGGACATTGCTGTATCAGATCTTGAGAAACCTCTGCTTCAGGACGCTGTGCCACTTAGGGAGTCGGAAGATTGCTGGTGTCATTCAGTGTTGTTCGCTTGGCGTAAAGACTTTTGCTACGTTGGGTCTTGGACATCCCTATTCGACGCTGCTTTTCGGTGCCTCAGGGAAACGCTTCTGCATGGTGCTGATGGTACCAATTTGCTGATGTGAGAAGGGAGGTGACGAAAGCCAGGGCAACACTGAAAAGCAGTCCTTTTCATGCAGCGATGTTCATGCCTCTCTCATTGGTGCAAACTAGACGATAAAAACAGACGACATGAATGGATCCTTCCCACTTCTCATGGACATTGCTAAAGACACTTTTCAATGATGCAGGAAATGTGTTTTCTTCTTTCATGCAACACCAGCATTGCTTAAGCCCCTCAACACACCCAGAATAAATCCAAAATGAGTCAAAAATGAACCCTCTCCCCCATTCAATTGAAGGAACAAACCCGACCTACAGCTGCCTTTCATAAACAAGAGCACACAAAGAAGAAGTGCTCAACACAGACGACGTTGCTTACAAGCAAGGCTCCTTGGATACATCCTTGTGCCCACCTTCTCTTGAATACGATAATGTACACATCTCCACCAAAAAAGACATGACCTCTCACCTCTCATTCCATTGACAAACTACATGTAAGGTTACATGAAGACTGTATTGAATCCACAATTTGGAAGATCTCAAATGCGATTCAACCCGTGGCAAACACGATGATGAAGATTATAGATAAATGTGTTGATGCTGCTCCAAACCCTTCCGCCTTTTCTATATGGTTAGTTTTATAGAAGCATTTGTCAGATCAAGTACTGTGCAAAGCTGCCCAAACCTCAACCGGCCTTCGCCATAGCCTTCTTCGCAGTCCAGCAGGAGCAAGTCTCCAAATGTCGTCTGTTCATGCAAAAGGGACATCTCCGGAGCATCTGCACCTGGAGTCAGCATGCAAGAGATACGTAGGAGGTCACGCTTGTGACACTTGCCTGACCTAAAGAATCCTAAAGCCCCACATATTTCCTCAATCTGGCACACGCACACTCACCCAGCACTGAATGCACCTCCACATATTGCAAACTGGGCCCGTCCACAGCTCATCGCACCCCACATTCCGCGAATGAGGCTCCGCTGGCGGACCGCGCTACGGCGAGACAGAACAGCCACCCACACAAAGGGCGGAGGCTGAATCGGCCAGCGGCGCATGACAAAGGCAGCAAAAAGAATCACAAGCGCCCCAATCCACAAAAGGTGGCCAGGCGTGCAAGCAAACATGCTACTATATATCGGAGTAACAAAATAGGAGGGAAAGTGGTGGAAGCGGTCTGGAAGGAAGTTCAGACGGAAAGGTGAAGATGTCCTGAAAAGACAGGCGTTTGCCATCGCAAACCACAAGATCCTGTGCCTCAGCTACAGGGCAAGGTTGAGCCAAAGGTGCAAAAGGCAACGGAAATCCAACCAGTGGACCCCCGCAGTTCCTGCAAAGTCCCATCAAGTGACCAACTTCCACTCCTTGAAAACTTGCCGACCTGTGTTGCAGAGGTCATCAACGATGAAGACGTGCTTCCCTTGAGGGTCACCTTCAGCAACTCGCACAACTCGCTTGTCTCCTTCTCGAACCTTGCTGCAAAATAGGACCTCAACGCCGTCGACATGTTTGCTCAAAACAAAAATTAGGAATGAGAGGGGGAGCATTTGTTTCTTTGAGTGATGGAGAGGGTCAACCAGTCCAAGCACAATGACTTAGTTGAGGGAGTTCAACAGGCATAGAAAGCGAGCACCAAAGAAGCTACTAGTAGCGACTTGTTACTAGTAGCGATGGCCTCCTAATAGCGTCTTTGCTGACGCAGTTGGTGCCAAGAATCTGGGTAGCCCTCCTTTTCAAAGAAGCCTCCGAAGCGCTTCTTCGCGCCTTCATCCGGGAAGGCCACGGCGACATCCTCACATGGCAGTCTCATCCTTCTCTGTGTGAAGGAAGGCAAACACATGCGAAGTTTCTCACTCTCCCGCTCCTCTGAAGCATAACCTTGGATCTGAAGTGACTGTAGCTCAAATGCGAAGGCCTACCGGACGTCCCACATGATCCTTTGGTCTAAGAGCCTTATACACCGGCAATCAAGTGGGTGAGGAAACAAAGCTGATTGCGCTGGTGAACATAGGCCGCATCAGCTTGTGATCAATGCCCACAACACAAGTTGACATCGTTCAATCTTGCTGATGCTGTTCATGAGGCCTTGTATAAGTACGGTCCGTCGACGGTGCCGTCGTTTGTATATATAATATATATCATTTCCTCGCCGACTAACTGTTAGTTCTTTCATGATCTATTCACAGCAAAGCTAATGTGGAACAGCTGTTGCAAATCATGATAAAAGCATGAAAACCATGGCGACCCAAGCATGACCCGCAACTTGGTGTGAATGGTGAGGTTGTGGATGGAACAGGATGTCTGCGATGGAACTTCTTTGACCATCCTGTGTCCTTCTCTTTTGCAAACAGATTGTCAGTTTGATGAAACGGGAGGGGCACATTGAGAGCAGCCAAGTAGCGTGTCTTGAGAAGATTGAGCAACAGTGGCATAGCTGAAAGCAAGACTGGCAGGATGCTGTCTTGGAAATAAAACCTTCCAGCAAAACAAAAGATGCTATTGGCAAAGTCTGAAACCCTCCGCACAGAGTTCTGGAGGTCATATCCTCTTTTGTCCAATCTCCGGCACAGCGACCAGGTTCTCTTTGCTTTGTGGCGATTGCAAAAGTAAGTCATGCTGATGTGGTGATCGCACACAGATACATGCGAGCCTAATCTGAAGAGCATGGATGTCGAAGATCAAGAAACCTCAACGTTGACGCAAAGAACAAGATGGAACCCACGAACCCGAATGCAAACACGTACTCGAAAACAAACGCCCAAACAATCCCAAACATCTTGTGACACTCTTGTAGGAGACACTCTTGTAGAACGCTCTTGTGGGACACTCTCGTGCGACAATTTCGTCACTCTGTGGGACACTCTTGCGAAACACTCTTGTAGGACACTCTTGTGGCCCTTGTGGGACACTCTTGCAGGACACTCTTGTCGGACACTCTCGTGGGACACTCTTGTGGGATGCATTCTTGTCGGAAACCCTTGTGGGACACTCTTGCGCACTCTTGCGGGACACCTTGTATGACACTCACTCTTGTGGGACACTCTTGTAGGACACTCTTGTGGGACACTCTTGCGGAACACTCTTGGATGTCACTCTTGTGGAACACTCTTGCAGGACACTCTTGTGGGGCACCCTTGCTGCAATCTCTTGTAGGACACTCTTGTCGGACACTCTTGTCGAACACTCTTGTGGGACACTCTTGTCCGACACTCTTGTGTGTCACTCTTGTCGGACACTCTTGTGGGACATTCTTCTAGGTCACTCTTGTGGGACACTCCTGCGGGACGCTCTTGGCTCTTGTGGAAAACTCTTGTAGCATACTCTTGTGGGGCACTCTTGTATGACACTCACTCGTGTGCGACACTCTCGTAGGAAAGTCTTGCGGGATACCCTTGTAGGACACTCTTGCGGGACACTTTTGGAACTCTTGTAGGACACTTTTGCGGGACACTCTTGTAGGACGCTCTTGTCGGACACTCTTATGGAACAGTTCTGTGGGACACTCGAGTCCGACACTCTTGCGGAGCACTCTTGTAAGATGCTCTTGTGGGTCACTCCTTTGGGACACTCACGTATGGCATTCTTGTCGGCGCTCTTGCGAAATACTCTTGTAGGACACTCTTGTGGGACATTCTTGTAGGACACTCTTGTAGGTGGGACTCTCGTGGGGCACTCTTGTAGGACACTCTTATCGGGACACTCTTATCGGGACACTCTTGTGGGACACTCTGTAGGGCTCAGTAGGACACTCTTGCGGGGCACTACTACTAAAGTCTCCATGCCAAAGTCAGCCGTCACGTCTCCAACACTAGCGCTTCGTTGAGACTTGCTCCAAAAGTCACACGTGAAGTCTGCAAAGCGAGCGTTTCGTTCGAGACTTCTTCCAAATTCAGTCGTCAAGTCTCCAAAGCGAGCGTTTCGAACGAGACGTCCTCAAAAACTCACTCTGCAAGTCTGCAAAACGAGCGTTTCGTACGAGACTTCCTCCAAAGTTCACGCGTCGAGTCTCCAAAACGAGCAAGCATTTCGTGCGAGACTTCCTCCAAAAGTCAAGCGGGAAGCCCATCGAAGCACACACATCAAGCAGCCCTTCCAAGCAGCTTCGCGATTCCAGCCCCTCCAAACAACACCCGCTCACACACCAATCCCAATGTCACAGCGACATTCACCTCCACCACAACTCGCCACCTCACGATCCCCTGCACCTGCCACGAGAATTTGCGCGTCCACACCTCCAACACACGCAAAGTACTGCGCCTGCAACGAAATGTTACCTCCACCACACCTTGCAACTACATGCGCGCGTGAAGTAGCGAGGAAACGTGTGGAAACGTGAGAGGATGAAGTCTGGAGGATGAGTTCACTGCGCAGGCGCAGCGTTTTGTGAGATTCACAGCTTTCTTCGCAGTCAGGTTTGCAGGGTGATGTCTTTGGGGTGTTGGATGTGGCTGTGACATTGGGATTTGATGTTCAAGGTGTTGCCTCGAAGCTGTGTTCTCGTGACAAGTCTCAGCTTGGTGGAGCGACAGGCGCTCAGAACGGGTGTTAATTAAATGTCAAACGTGTGGTGTGGTGCAAGTTTTGCTGAATCTACAAAGCTATGATATTGTCACATTTCGTGGCAGGCGCAGTACTTTGTGACATTGTGCGGGTTTTGAGGTGTGGAAGTGCCCTTTTTCGTGGCAGGAATCTGACACGTCATGCTTCCATCAAACACCCTCTCCAAAAGCTTCGCCCAATTGTCAGCACCATAGCGCTCCACCTGCGGACGGTTGCGAACAGTTGCGGACGGTTGCGAACGCTACAACAACGAGTCGCGAACAGGAGTCTACCCCCAGACCCCCAGAGTTAAACGAGAACCTTTGCTGGGCACAGAAGCCACCACGCATTGTTCCATTTCTCATGGATCTAGAAAGTCAAATACATTCATGAGCCCATTTGGAGAGACCAGGGAACGTGCCGGCCCACCAGGAGTCATGGGCACAGCACTGATCATTCGGCTCAAGGTTGAAGCGGTCGCCACCTCGCCCTCTCGATCCACGCGCCTCACGAAAGGGAAAACGTCCGATCTGTCGAGTACATGAGGACGTTCGGTGGGATGTGCTGCGTTCGGAATACAATTCTTATACGATGACGGGTACCATGAATTACAATGATATCTTCTCAAAATGAGAAGCAACACAGCAAGTATCACAGCTTGGTTCGTTTACGCCAAGCATCTCCATGGTTCCAGTTGGAAAAAAAGGCAGAAGGACAGTGAGGGATCTGCAGCCATAACGTGGGATGGCATAAAGCAGCGAAAGCCTAGGGAACTCAGTGCATGGCAATTGCAGCCCTTGTGCTACAAGGCGCAAGGCACTAAGCTCATGCAAGAGGACAACCTCTGTTCTCAGTGGCTGACTGATCCAAAAGGATCTCCTTTCCTCAGCGTGTGGTCCCCAAAACAATCATTCCCTTTTCAAGCTGTTCCCACAAGGAGGGATCAAATGTAGAAGGTCTTCAAGGCTTTGGGAAGTCTCCGTTGCTTCAGTCTGGTTGATGAACTCAGGGTTTTGATGGCTCTTCATGGTGCCTGGATGGTGAACGGATCACCAAGTTTTGCAGCAAGAATGTTCGACAACAAAATGAAGGGAACAATGCAGAAGCAGCGGGCCACACACACACACACAGGTCACGGTGCCAAGTCTTTTTCTAGGCATCTACTTTGACTGGGCAGCCGGACGTCGCATGTTCAGAAGCAGCAAAACATGCGCAGGGAGAAGCTTGTGGACCTCCTCGATGAAAATGTTGGGCATTCCTGATTCGAACTCACCTGAGGGTGATCTGCTTCAGGAAAAGGAGGAAAGCTTCGGCTGCAGGACTTCACAAAAAGGGTCGGTAAGAGCCAAGGAGAGCTATAGAATGTAGCGAGCTAGTAGGCTAAGTAGCTAGTAGGAGACCTTGGAAGCGGCTAGATGCTTGAATGCAGAAGAGCTCATGCTTTTTCCAAGACCCCTTGCATGATTGATTTGGCTCCCAAAGTTTGAGAAAACTGCACATTCTGGGAATTTTGGCCAAGCTACGCCAATCCACTTTCACCTGCCAAGGCACAAATGGTTCGGCCACAAAAATTTATAAAAATTTGCATCATAATCACATGCACCAAGCAAGAAAGTAGAAACAACTTGCTCATCAAACAACTCGCACTGCGTTCAACTGCCTGCTGGATGTCTTCATCCTTTACAATTTTGTTTGGTGCGGTGACATCCCACCTCAGTGTAAGAGAGCGGATCCAGCTCGATCAATGCTTTCCTCAGTGGGACTCAAAGAGGCAAGCACAAAGTTTGCAACTTTCTGCGGATTCGAAACTTTTGAGATGCGAAAATCAGCAAGCCAACCAGCCCTTTCTTCTTTCGCTTTTGCAGAAAAAGCATCTGTCTCACACGAATAATTACTCAAGTACAAGGTCATTACAATGCGAATACTCGAGTACAAGGTCATTAAGCCTAGAGCGTTCAGCCAGGATACTTGATATGATCCATCGATGGGTGCGCCAAAATGATGTACTTGTTGCGCCCCGACAAGCTGGCCTCACAGCAAAGCAACTGCGATCCTGGTTGAATACCAAAAATGTAGATGGAAATCCGTTTTTTCACTAGCACCTTCTATATGCTTATTCACTGCATAGCAGGGTTCAGCGTTTCACGCATTCTTTAGATTGACTGCTTTCATGGTCGCCTCTATCGGATTCCATGGATTCGGGTAACATCCCCCTCACCTCGATCTGGTGCGCGACCAGCTTCTGCAGGTCTTCAGGTAGGCTATCCTTTTTGGCGCAACAACATGGATACTTGCCCGAACTAGTTCAATATCGGCTGATGACAATACTGCCATAGAGAGAAGTTATTATGAGAGTCTGAAATTGATGTCTAAGCATTAAAAGTGATGTTGAGCCGTTGAGCTGCCTAAAACCATTGTCTTTGTTTGTTGATAAGTTTAATCTTTCGCGAGGGAGAAATAAGCGCATAGACAGGCCCCATGTTCGATTGCCTAGCTTGTCCACAGTCGATTCCCCATGGCCTCATGGGGCCTCTTCCGTGGCATGTTCGCCATGGGAGCGAGAGTTCAAGCGTGCGCTGCGTGACAACGAAGTCGAAATGGAGCGAAACTCACTGAGCGAAGCAATGCTCCGTCTGCAGTTGCGTCCAGTTGCTTGGCATGTCTGATACGTGCAACTTGTCTCCCTAATGTCTGCAACTATGTGACAATGTGGGGTGGATCTTTGTGGATATGTCCCGTTCCCATCGATGTGCTCCTGCTTGCACCTTTCTTGAGAACTTCTCAACGAAAGCATGGAGCATCATGGAGCCAGAGGACAAATGAAGCTGAGGATTCTGGCACTTTTGGACAAAGCAAGCTGAGGATTCGCTCCGGCCCTACTTGGGAGTGCACATGACAAAGGAAAAACAGGGTTCGATTTCAATCGATAGCTCCCTCGAATCAAGAACACCCGAGTCCGGTGTCCTGGTAGCCTCAAATTCAGGATTCTGAGCACTGCAGGAGAGAAGCTTCTCATAGGCCGCCTGTCAGCATGAAATACCTTAAAACCAGCTCGAAAAAGATCCCTCCACCGCGGAATTAAGCTTGCTCGGTTCATGCCCCATTCTTGTACCGAAGGCTGTGACGGCGGACTAAAAGTGCTCCAGGGAAGAGGGGCCAAGCCATGCGAAAAGGTACACTCCCTGGAAAATGGCCCCTCGGAAGGCCGTTTTACTCTACAAACAGAGGGTCTTCCACTTCCATGTTAGTTCTAAGTTCTAAGGAGTGTATGCAGGTTCGTGGTGGTCGCAGTCTTTTGCCTTTGAGTAGCATCGAGCAAAAGAAGGCTATGACCAATGTCCTCTTTGATTCCATCCAAAGAAACTTGCTCCGAGCAGTTGCCTCACATGCAGCAGCACGAGGATTGAAGTGGCTGGACACCTGAGAGGCACCCGTCAGTACTACACCATTGCAGTCTCGATTCTCAAGGAAAACCCCACATGTCATACTTACAGAATACAATGCAATGTTGTTTGCCCTTGATCGGGACAATGATAACTGTTGCCAAATAATTCATGTATCAACTCCGGCCTCGCTAGAAGCTGTTGTCTCCAAGATCGAAAAGGAAAAGTTGAGGTAAGCCATCGTTAGCCGCTATCCATTCAGAAGGAGTGAACATCCAGAACGGATTCTGGCCTTGTTGTGAATGCGCCAGTGCAAAGCAAATCTGCGCATTTCCTGTCATCCAACTTTGCAGGGGGCATAGCCCCGTCCGCCTACCCAACTGTTGCAAATTGAGTCATCTGTATGTGTGCTGAGAACGTGGCAGTGAGGAATGAGAAAATACGTGCCACAAAAATGATCTGGTTTTGAGTGATTGTCGACCTCTGATTTGGCAAATTTCGAGAGCAAAGCTCCTCAGGTACTGCAAAGCGGCGCCGTTCCCGAACCCCATCGTAGCGGTATGGCCGTGGGATGGGGAACCTCAAAGCCAGATCTTTGATCTGAACAGCTTGAATTTCTTGAACCACACCTATTCCCACTCAATATAGCATTCACATTTTTTGTTTTGAGGCACAGCAGTAAGGCTGTAAGGAGAAAGAAGTGGGCAGTTGCAGTCGTAGTCAAGGCCTGTGCTTTCCCACTCCTGCTCCTGAATTCCCCAAAAAGCCTAAAGTGTATGCCACCTGCAAGTACCGTAGTTACTGTTGCAACTGGTCGGTTGTCTGAGACTCCGGAAAGCCATTCAATATCAAACACCGCAAGACGTTCTGCATCCGCAAACAGCAATAAGTACACAACTCAAGGTTCTCAGTATCGCTGCTGTAGACCTAAGCTTCTAAGGGCGGCATCTGCTGGGGCAAAAGAATACTGTACATGATACATCATGATACCCGAGTGTTGCTTGTTGTGAAGGATCTCTGAGATGACCCTCTACACTTGGCTGAGAGGGGTTTGAAAGCAGTGCTGAACTGGCAAACTACTCTTGAGTCATGATGCAAACTTGGGTGCCACTATCTGAATGAAATCTTTTGAAGGCACTGGTGGTGAACTTGTCAAAGTAAAATCAGCTCCCAGTTAAATATGTGCCGCCACTCCGGGTAAACTTGAAAATATATCGAAGTGGGTTGACATGGTTTCACATTATCTCAGAGCAAATTTCACAAAACAACTAGCGTTCCATGTGATTCTATACATAACTATGTGCTTGGTCTCCCGACTCTCAGAAGACGGATCCCTTCGATGCTCTTCAACGCTGCTCGACAAATGGGACAGTTTCGACCTGTCGATTGCACTGCTCAAGGGTCACATCTTTCAACCCAATGCTCCAACAACGCAGTCGCAACCGCAACGCACAGCCCAGGAGTGTGGCTGAACAGCCCACGCGGCCCACGTGTCTTGGTATCGAACCTCCAACTGAAGCACGCAGCGCTTGCATCAGGCCTCAAAAGGCTACTATGGTTGCATGCCTAAAGCACAAAAAAGAGAGCCTTTGGGTAGCCGAGAAGTGAACTTGCGAAGGAAGTATGTTTGATCTGAATCAGAATCAATTGAAATTTTGCAGTAGACAGAATGACGCACACCAAAGAGTCATGCGAAAGCCAGGAAATGTATTTAGTAACATAGTATATATTTGGGCAAAGATCGTCCATTGAAAACTATCAGAGCTTTGTCCTTTCCCCAGCAGTCAAGCAAAGAAAGCATCTTAAGTTCTATGAATGTCCTGTATGTGTTACTTGATATTTGTGTACTCTTTGATGCTTGCCACGGGCACTGTGTCCAAAAGCCAGGACAGGAAAAGAACGGTGCTTATGATGTGCATGCTTGTCTTTGTCTGTATCTGTGTGTGTGTGTGTTGGATCGGCATTCGTATGCAGCTTGTTGATTACTTGCTGCTGCATAGCACGACACTACGCAGCACAAAATCTGGCATCTTGCATCTTTTTACATTTTGCTCAAGCTATCGGGTCTGGGCATTCAACACACCTTCTCTTCTGTGCAGGAAATTCCTGTTGCTCGCACGTCCCAGGGACCCTACCATCAACTGGAATCTTCCAAGAAGGGTGCATCTTGACACATTGCGAGCTGTTCTCTGCGCTCCCTGAAATAGTTTAATCAGGATGAAGTCAAAACAACATGTCACCGGTGAGAAGGTGTCAAAACAACACGTTGTGAAGAGATTTGGAGAAGATGTCATCACAGTTTTGGTTCTCACTCAGGTGAAGAGTGGAAAATACCTGTGCGTCTTCGGCCCACTCTACTGTCAGCGGTTGGGTCGTGGGACATCTTCGTCCTTCAGGTGAGCAGATTGTCGATTGGGTCCCCCAAGCCACCTGGACCTGCCTGCCTGCCTTGTTGACGAAAGAAATGGTACATCCTGCCTGTTCTTTTCAAGTGCGCTCTGGATTTATGCTTGCTCAAATGCAGGTCCAGCTCGTCGTTCAGCCCCACAATCTGCTTTACATCCGGCAAGTAGTGGTCCATCCTAAGCAAAGTGCAATCAGCTGTTTACAAGCTGTTGGGCTCTGCTTGGAGTCTCTCTGTTGTACGCGGTTTATCCACGCAGCACCTCCACCAATGTGTGTGTGTCTATTCCTCTCTGCTTCTCTCTCCAATCTGCCGATCTTCCCCTCTCACTCTCGGCATGGAGTTGCTCCAAGAGATGTTTGAGGAACTTGAGACTGTGAAGCTGACCTTGACCTTTAAAGACAGTCATTGTAGAGACTGGATGGTTCAACCAGGTTGACCAAATTTATCCGAGGCTCAACTTTTTGACCCCTTCCTGTAGAGTCGCATGCGATTGAGAGCAGCCACTGCAAGAACCCACCATCCGAAGGTAGAGGGAACCATCTCCATGATCAAAACCTGAGAGATGAGGATCATCATGTTACTCATCTACATCCTGCAGCTTTATGAACATACTATATAGTGGTTTGCAATGTCTGGTTCAGGCACACTTTGGTACATGGTTCGCAGCTTATATATCAGGAATGACTACTACCAGTGTCTGCAGGTGGGCCACGTACAAATTCGACGTCTCCGCCATCCTGCTGAACAAACGGCTTGACCCGCTCCTGTCGAAGCACATCGGAACACTAAGCAACGATAAGTCGGATAATCTGACAGGGCTGGTGTGGTGCCCTTGACTGTCATTCTACTCAAACAGGGCTGGCATTGGACCCAATCTTGAGAAAGGAAGAAAAAACTGATATTGTGATAGAATGGGGTGATAGAATGTGATACACATGCAGCACCTGAGGAAACAAGAAAAGTATAGCAGCGTCCAAGTGAGGACACCCTGATTCTCAATCACCGGACATTTGATGAGGATTGCCTACTGGAGTCCCGGGACATCTTGTGACAAGTACAAAAGCCCCACCCGGAGACCGCGACAAACATCGGGCTCGAAGTCGAGAACCCTTCAGCGACGGCTTCAGCCATTCTCCCACCTCAAGCAGCTCTAGGATCTGCGCCTCGATGCTTCCTTCTTCAAAGTCCTCCAGAGACGGAAAGAACTTGGAAAAGCGGGAAAGGTTACGCAGAAGTAACCCTTGAATGCATTTGAAAACAATGCCAGACCAAAGGTTTATACTAAGCGGCCTTGAGAAAAAGAAAATAAAACATACTTCTGGGTCATGGCCACGATTATACAACCTTCTGGGTGCTCCAGCCTGCTCTTGCCAGAATCGAAGGATACAACTGCAAATACTACGATCTTTTTTTGCGATACGACGATACAAGCTGCGTGAAGCTCCTGAGGGTCAACTGTTTCCACGGCATCAGGATCAACAGCTGCTTGTCCAGCCTTGTGAACAGGGATGCGAAGCCAGCCAACTTGCTGAGAAACCAGTTAGTCGCGCGAATCAGCAAAGCGCTCTGGGATTGGAATGACCAAGCTACAAGTATCTTTGCTTCCGGGGCTCGCCTCAAAGAACTTGCTGATTTCGGCTTCGACCACATCCTGGCCATGTGAGCGTTCAAAAGCCTGTTGCACAAGAGTTTATATATATATAGTGGATGTTTCAGTCAAGACTTTTCCCATCCTCCCTGTCATCAGCACATTTATGGCCTATGGCTGCCATGAGCAAATGGTTACACACTCTATTGTTCACATTTCATGGAATTGGCAATCGTGCTGCAAAATCTAGGACTTGAGACGGCACGCCGAAAGCACGAAATGCATCTGCTGCGATGTCCTGAAGTTCCTCCCAGTCTGCCAAGGTGGCTTTGGTCACAGTCACATGCTCCGCAGCGAGAAGCACCTGAAAGCAGCAGGAGCACCATGTCTGACAAGTGCCATATAAAAATTGTCGGCAAACCCCAACAGACTCATGAAACGGCTGGCCCAATAGCAAAAAAATTGGGAGCATTTTGTCAATTCTGTCACGTGCCATTTTGCTGGACCAAATGCATCCTAGAATCACTCACAATAGCTACAGAAGACTACAATTGGATGCCAAGGGTGGCAAAAAATACAGTATGCATCGGCGCAATCCTTTTAAGGTCATGCTAGTTCGCGGCAGCAGAATGTGAAATACAAATGCCTGTCTCATCGACACTGCTTGAAGCACTGGACCCTGCCTCTCGCACTCCGTCTACTTTCAAGAGTGACTTGGCCAAAGGTGCCGCGAGGGCCTGTGGCTCCACAGCAAGCCCAATCAACACACCAAGCCGTACTCGGGCTAGTTCAAACAACTGATCCGGCTGTTCAACTGTTCAACTGTTCAAAAGGGTTGTGCTTGTATATGTCTTCTTGGTCCCCTTTACCTGCATCAAGCTGAAGCGTCCGTATGCAAACTGGTGGTGCACGCAAATTCTACAAGGAAATGTTGTGTACGTGTGGCGCTATGCACTGGTCACACAAAGGTCTGCCTCGCTTCAGATATACTGTGTATGTATATATATATGTATATTCTTGCTATGTGAGCATGAGCACGCGGGCTACAAATGCATTGCAATGCATCTTCCAAGAAGTGTCAGGCATTCAAAGTCCCTAGAAACAATGAAACAACGGTGATTCAATCTTGTCCAGTCTTTTGTGAGTGCTTCTGCCTCTTCGGCACTGCGAAAAAGCATGGTCCTGCACGCATTTGTGGGTGAACGGCAGAAGAGGCATGCAGATATCATGGTTTACATCCCTTAAAACTGTTGCAGCTTTGACGTGTGCTGAAAAAATGCTGATCTCTCGTGGCATTAACGAGTCAAGCGTTTGCAACTACCTGAATCTATTCTGTGCACTGATACAAACTGCTCCAAGTGAGTAGAACATGACAAAGTCTCACAATTCCAGAAAGGGTCAGTATCAATCTATACTGTTGTACCAAGTCGAACCATAATTGCCTATTACCTACAGTTTGTCTGCATATGTATATATATATGCAAAAGTGTTGCACATCTGCTGATGCCAAGCTCTTGGGCGGTCTTGGTGCCACGTCCAAGGACCTCGCCACCCTCTAGAACAAACTTCATGGACTTGGGATTCGGCGTGGCCTTCAGCAAAATTTGCCAAACAAATACCAAGGCGTTCTGTAAAATGCCTTCTCGCACTTTGACAAGTCACCGGAGAGCTGGCACGAAGTATGAAGCAGGAAAGGTTGGAAAGTACCCTCAACAGGCTCGTTTCTTTGGCTGTCAATCAAACCATGCAATTTTGATCAATTTTGCACTTGGCATGCGAATGGCCTCGGCCATCACCGACACTGACCGCCCAAGATGCCTAGGCCGCTTCGTTCACAAGAAAGACAGGCAAAGCTGTAAGACCTCTCTACTGTCCAACGTAAAAAACAAGGGGAGCGTGGACTTACCAATCATTCACAGTCTAAGTCTAAGAGCGTCAAAAGGAGTTTTCTGTCGCAGCTGAGCTGATTCATTCCTGCCACCAAGCCACCCTCCCAAAGGCATGAACCTCCGCATAAATGCCATTGCTGCCATCGAAGTGTTTGCTGGACTGAACACTCTTGATCCACTTTGCCCCAGCAATTGCCAGACATGAAGGTGGCGCTTGGTTGCTGCATGTCTGCACTTCTTAGCTCGCTGCCTGTGTGGAGTTCATGCAAAACTTCAATCCTAGGTACAATAAATACTATATAATATTATATAACATTCACTATTCATATCTGTCTTTTAGTCACTAGGTCACTGGATACAGTAGACCGTACCTCACCATGCTGCTAGCACCTCCAGCAGACAAAGAAGCAAACAAGCGAGTCAAAGAGCTTGGAGCGGAATGGCTACGCTATGCCACACAGGCCAGCAGCCAGCACAAACTCAGAAGGCGACAAGTAAAGCACAATGTAATAAAGAGGGTTCCGGACGTGAATCAGGTTAGATTCAGTACTCTTGCTTGAATAGTCCTAGGTAGAAGAATGTGGACTTCCTTTGGGGATTATCAAGATCCTGGACAAAAAAACTCAAAGACTATGCTGGTCTTGCCGAGATCGAAACAATGTCGGTGGAAAACATGCCCGCAGAAAGTGATCGCATTGCAACCTGACACAAGAGATGAGCACATCAACGTCTGTTGGCAGGATCTGTTGCCAAGCCCGCAAAAGATCGCTGTTAGTTTCAAATTAGCTTTCTGCTTTGTAGAAACTTCTCTCCTTCCGCACCCCGCCTTCTTGCCAGCATATGGCGCACTTCTCATCCTTCACTATCCATGCCGCACGTGCCAAACCAACGATCTGCAAACACGCAGGCTGGTGCCTTCTACAATAATAGGCGCCCAAAGCAATGAAACATGCGATGGGTGGCACCCTTCAAATCAAGGTAGCATGCACTACGTTGATCGAATTGTGGATGTCAAGCTCGCCTAAGCTTACCTCACAAGTGATTTGACAGCAACTAATCCTTCCAAAGCTACTTTGAGATACAGCGGTCGCGAACTAGGGACGATTTGCAATGAAAGCATGGGTAGACTGGCAGATGGTTGCCAATACTAGCCAAATGGGCTGAAAGGGTTCATGTCTCCTGATCTTGATGTTCGAAGAGATCCTCCAAGCGTTCAGTGCTGAGCTCTGTGATGGCCTGGCAGGATTTGCTCAGCTTGAATTTAAGCCTCACTTGATGTTTGTCCACCTGTTTTGTCATGCATGGCTTTGGTCCGGGGCCATAGGCAGTATAGGCACAAACAACTGATGTGTTGACTACGAAGCTGTTGTGTTGACCTTGTGACATGCCCTTGCTCCAAGTGGCCCACCATTCAATGACGCCTCTGCAGCCACATCCACAGCACGGTTGCTGTTGGCGGCGTAGAGAACACAGCCCCTGGCCTCATTTGAAGTTTGAGAGTCATTTGAGAGGGTGATTGCCTTTCAGCCCATCCTACTCGCCTTGGCAGGTAGAACGCGTTGGATTAATTTCACCGTGCTTTTCTCGATAGTGTTGGATATTTTGTCAAGAACAGGGTCCCCAAATTGACCAAACCATTGTGGCTGAAGGGACATACATACATACATACATACATCCATGCATACATACATACATACTATACATACTATACATACTATACTACTATACATACTATACATACATACCTACGTACATACATACATTACATACATTACATGCATTACATACATTACATACACACATTACGTACATTACATACATACATACATACATACATACATACATACATGCACCAGGTACTCCTGGACAGTGTGGGTAACATGCACACCAGCCCTTCCATGAATTTGGGGTTGATCACACCTGTTCCGTAAGATGATCTTTTGTCGCGCACCGGCTCAGGGCTTTGTGATCAAGGGACACCATACTCAGTTGCAGGGGACACGCAATCAGTACAGACCCAACTAATAATACAACTCAGATCACTTCAGTAGTAGTCGTACTGGGCGGCCCAAAACTGGAAAACTTCCGGGGCCCGAGGAGTAGTAGTAGTAGTAGTAGTAGTAGTAGTAGCAGCTGCGGTAGTAGTAGCAATAGCCTGGCCCCTTCTTAGTTAGGAGCTAGGAGCTTGGTGGGTAACATTTTTACATTTTTGGAGGTAGAACCTTCTGTTGGCAACCAATTAACTCAAATGATAAAATTGACCAGGACCACTTTTCGCATTGTCATTGTCATTGTCATTGCCCATTGTTTTGAGAGTCATTGAACATTGACAATGATTTTGTTTCAAAGTCACTGCCACTGCCACTGACAATGTCAATGTCACTGAGATGAACTGGCCAGGAGTAGGAGTAGTAGTAGTAGTAGCAGCTGCGGTAGTAGTAGCAATAGCAGCGCACAGTTCGGGGCCCGACCTTCACAGCCCGAACCTTGGAAACTTCCGGGGCCCTAGTAGGAGTAGTAGCGGTATACTAGTAGTAGTGGTGGTGGTAGTAGTAGTAGTAGTAGTGGTATAGTAGTAGTCGTCGTGGTCGTGGTCGTGGTAGTCGTAGTAGTCGTAGTAGTCGTAGTAGTCGTAGTAGTCATAGTAGTCGTAGTAGTCGTAGTCGTAGTCGTAGCAGTAGTAGTAGTCGTCGTAGTAGTAGTAGTTGTTGTTGTTGTCGGGTAGTACTAGTAGTAGTAGTAGTAGTAGTAGTAGTAGTGGTAGTAGTAGTAGTAATACTGCGGTGGTAGTAGCAATAGTAGTGCGCAGTTCGGGGCCCGACCTTCGGGGCCCGAACCTTGGAAACTTCCGGGGCCCTAGTAGGAGGAGTAGTGGTACTAGTACTAGTACTAGTACTAGTACTAGTACTAGTCGTAGTCGTATAGTCGTAGTCGTAGTCGTAGTCGTAGTAGTCGTAGTAGTAGTAGTAGTAGTAGGAGTAGTAGTAGTAGTCGTCGTCGTCGTTAGTAGTGGTAGTAGTAGTACTAGTAGCGCTAGTAGTGCTAGTAGTAGCAGTAGTAGTAGTAGTTCTAGTCGCGGTAGTCGTAGTAGTAGTAGTAGTAGTAGTAGTAGTAGTAGTAGTAGTAGTAGTAGTAGTAGTAGTCGCGCTTGAACTTGATGAACTTATAAGTTGGGTTATAAGTTAAGTTATATGTTCTTTAAGTTAGGTTATAAGTTAACTTATTGCGTAAGTAACTTATCATCTAGATGTGAGAACATATAAGTTAGTTGCGTCTAGATATAAGTTAGTTATGGGTTTAGCTATTTTGAACTTGAACTTAGTTTGAACTTGTTTTGAACTTAGGTTGAACTTAGGAGCTAGCAAAAACTAATGTTTTTATCGCAAGTTTTGGCTCGAGGAAATGCAGGTTTTTGTACGTAGCGCGCCATCAACATGGAAAAGCAAAAGCTCTCTGAATTTATCACAGAATCAAAGCAGTTGAGTGCTGAAGAGAAGGTCAAGCTGCTCTTGAGTCTACAAGAAGGGGTCAAAGACAGCGGAGTGTCGCAGGAGCAGCCTTTGGATGACAACCAACCGAAAGGTGAGACTTGCGCTCCAGCACACTCGGCAGCTGCCAAGCCGGCGGCCCGAGCATCCAAGTCGGTACAGCGGCGGCCGAACCAGGACTACACCAAGCTAGATGATTTCCTTCCCCCTTCACAGTGGGAAGCGTTGGAACGCGCTTACTCCAGTCGCGACAAGGCAGAGGTGTTGGCGGAGTGTTGTTTTCGCATGTTGGCGCTTCGCTTACCGACGGAGCTCACATATGGCGCAATGGCTGGCATTGTTGGTCTTTTGACGGGTTGCATGGGCAACCAGTGGGCGCTGCAATGTATATTGCAGGAAGTCAAGAGCGAATGGAAAAAGGTTCGAGGTCGCCTGACACTGAGTGGCAAGTACCCAGATCCGAAAGAACTTTTGCCAGTTTTGCCCCTCACATTCGAGGATCTACCCGCGTCCATACGAGAGACCTTCGGCGAAGAGAGACCGGCTTTGCCGCGTCAGAGGTCGCTTGATGTGGATGCGATCCGTCTGGCAGCTGCCAAGATCCCTCTGCGTGGGGGGAAGTTTGGTCTCAGCGCCGACCATCTTTCAAAGGCTAGCGGAGGGCACTGGCCAGCACATGGTTGAGCGAGCTGGGAGGCTAACAAACCTACAGATTTTTTCGCAGCGCGTTCGACGCGATGGGGCGTTCTCCAGGAACTCTGGCGACGGCAGGCAGACGTTAATGGCTTCACCGGAGACAGAGAAGCGGTCCACCGGGAACACGACCACGCCGCGCAAGGCGACGCTGCTGGCGATCGAAAATGGACCGTCCGCACCTACGGCCCCAGAGCAAGGTATGCGGCCGCAGGGGGTTAGCCCTGTCAAACCACCTGAGCCATCGAAGATGCCGTCACACCAGTGTCCAGAGCAGCGTCTGCTAGAGGCTTTACGTGACGAGGACGCCGAGCCATCTAGACAGAAAGATGCGCAGGCCCAAGCGTTGACCTCTGCTATGATCACTGAGCTGGGCGGCCAGGGTACCGGGCATGTCATGAAACGTCCGGCCGCATTGAAGCGACCGGTCTTCGAAGAAGCCGAAGACGAGCGGGACTATCGTTGCAGAGTCCGCCGGTGAGAGTGGCCAGGGGAATATATCCTTCAGTGCGAAGCGATGGGGTTCCTGCAGGGCGGAGTTTGGTGATTGGGAGCACTGCTCCGAATCACAGGCAGATTTGCAAGAAGCTCATTCCATTTGTGAGCAAGGGTTGCTCTCGAGAAGAGCTACTTTCGCAACGAGAGTTGTTGCAGTGTTGACATGGCTGACTTGGAGAGCAAAAGGAAACGAATGCGCGGACCGCGTTACAACATGTGTTTACTCGTTTTAGATCCTGGCTTGCTGTTACTGGTAGCTGTTTCGGCTTATACGTTCTGCATACGTGAAATCTGTTCATATTTATTCTGGTATGCGCACAGACCACAAGGACGAGTGCTTCACGCTCCTTGATCAAAAGCTGAAGTGCGAGGTGGAGAGGAGAGGACATCAGCGGGTAGAGGCGTCTTGCGATCTAATTCGCGTTGTCCTGCAACAGTGTGGGTGGCATCATGGCACAGATGCTCTGCGGCTGTTTTATCTGGCTGGTCGAAGGCAGTGTCCACCATTCCCTGAGCATCGAAGATTGATTCTAATCAATCTATTGAAAATATTGATTTTGAGTCTTCAAAATCAATTCTCACAGATTGAAAATATTGAAAATGTTTTTGGAGATCAAAATCAATACAGAAATCAATATACAAATCAATATACAAATCAATATATACACACAATTTTGGACCAAAAACCGTGTAAACATCAAATGCACCAGGCTTACAATTTTGGACCTAAAACATAGTGTAAACATCACCACATGCACCAGGCTCTTTTTTCCTATGCTGAACTTCTCCAGCACCTTGTGGCCAAAAACATGCAAACCCTTTCTCAAAGGTTCCAAAGAGTTGAATTACTGTACACCTTTTCTCAAAGGTTTGGTTGTTTTCCATACCCTTTCTCAAAGGTTAGGCGCTGGTTTTCCAAGGCCCTTTCCCAAGGGTGGGCTGCACCCTTTCTCAAAGATCAAGGCTCAGGGATTTCTCAAGGCGCCCTTTCCCAAGGGTGGGCTGTACCCTTTCTCAAAGGTGTGCTTCCTCATTCTTGTGGAAGCAAGCCACAGAATCCACAAATGTCTTGAATTGTGGAATACCAGCCTTGTCAGCCCACCAGTGCCAGTGCCTGGCCTTCCTGATGGGGTACACCTGGATGCGCTGGCTGGCAGCCTCCTGCAAGATGTCTGCAGCATCATCAAACATGATGGAGCAGCCATGTGAGTTGCACAGGCTTGCCTTGGAACCAGCACCTTTGCTGATGTGGGTTGCCATGAAGGCCACCTTCCCCCACCAAGGCATTTGCTCAAGGTGGTGCCTCACCCTGGCAACCCTCTCCCTCCCACCACACCAGGTGCAAATGATCACTTCATGACCCTTTTCCAAGAGTGACTCCAAGGCATCAGAACTTTCCTGGCTGATGTGGTCATTGATGGCCAGGGTGTTGTGGTAGTCCACCATGATCTTCTTCATTTTCTTCCTCTCCTCCACCTCCTGCCTGATAAAGAGGCCTTCACCTGGCTTGGGGAGGAGAGACATGGGCTGGTGCGTGCCCAAATAACCCTTTTCCAAAGGTGCGCCAGGTGTGCCTTTCATCTCACCTTCGCCCTTTTCCAAAGGTGTCTCCTCCTTCATTTCCACACCACCCTGTGCTCCCTCCTTCTCCACAGGTTTTTCCTCCTTCATTTCCACTTCACCCACCTTGTCATCCATACCCTTTTCCAAAGGTGCTTCCTTCTCCATCTCCTCATCACCCTTTTGCAAAGGTGGCCCTTCCTCATCACAGGCCTCAGGGATGGGCCTTTCTGTGATCCTCCACACCTTTCTGGTGGGTGTGGCTGATCTGCTCCAGTCTGGGCTGGAGGACCTCTCCCTGGACCAGCTCCTGCTGCCCCTGCTGCCACTGCTGATAGACCGACCCTTTCTCAAAGGTGAGGCACTGCTGTGGCTGCTTCTGCTCTGCCTCCTCTTCCTCCTGCTGTGACTCCTTTTCCTGGGGCTTTGTCTGGGGCTCCTGTGCCAGTCATCTTCCCAGTCATCCCAGACTGCCCCACCTGCCCCAATCTCTTTCCCAAGAGTTGTTCCAGTACCAATCCCTTTGCCCAAGGGTCCCCACCATCATCTCCACCATTTCCTCCTCCATCTCCACAACCTCCTTGAGGCTGCTTGTTCTGCCGAGCCAGCCTTCTGGCCTGGGAAGTGGTCCCAGACCCCTTCTTCCTCCCTGCCTTGTTCCTGTTCTCACCTTTTGCAAGGTGTTGCCTCTGCAGTTTCCACATCCATGCAGGGCTGTACTTGTCCAGTGGCTTGTTGGGCCACCACTTCTCTTCAGCATCATCCATGCCAAAGCTGATGCGATTCATCCCTTTCACAAGGGGCTGTAGATGCCCCCTTTTTGTCAAGGGTATGACAACACACAGTCTCTAAAATGGTTGAGTTCACAAAAGGGCTGCAGCAGGAACATGCCTTCTCACGTTTCCAAAAACAAGTGACCACAACACATACCAACACACCTACACATTCAGTAACAACCTACACATACCCATACCCAACATAAAACAGGAACAACCTACACATACCCCAACAGAACACATAAACAAAACCATTTACAAAGGTTATTGCTTTACAGAAAGACCCTCACACCCACCCACCTTCCCCACACAGGCAGCACATGTTTTTGACACATGCAAGTGTCTCAGTATGTTCTGTACAAAAACCTTTCCCAAAGGTTGCTTCTCATTTTCACAGTCCTTTTCTCAAAGGTTCTTTATTCCAATTTGTTTTACACACCCTTTCCCAAAGGTGAACCCCTTCTCAAAGGTTTGAAGACATGGCTTGCTGAAAGCCAAAAAGGCTGCAAAAGTTGTTGTTGGGTTTTGCTGGTGCCAACATTGGAAACTTATACTTATACCTCAACCTGGGGGATGGCTGCCCAAACCCAAATAGATACAGGTATTCCCAAACCATAGTTTGGGGGCACCCACCGACCCACCCCACAGTAGAACAAAGCCAGCAGCATTTTTTTCAACACAAAACATTGGTCTGCAGGGCTGCTGGTGAGCCTGGAAGGACTTCCCTTGTGAAAGGGTTGGTGTGAAGAACCCACTTGCTCCTTTTTACAAAGGTGCCATTTTTCAACGAGTATATGTATTCACACATACTTGCAGAGGTGGGTTGTTTCATAAATTCCCTTTTGCAAAGGTTCTCAAAGGTTTCAAAGGTTTTCCCCATAGATCCTTTTCTCAAAGGTCTCTTCATGGACTCCTTTTCTCAAAGGTTTCTTTTCCTTTACCTCTTGGAAGAAGCTTGGGACTTGGTGCTCATGCTGATTTGGACCAATTCCTTTGCTTCCTCCTTGGCTTGCTGTATCACAGATACAGCTTCCTTCAACAAATCCTTGATGGCCTGGAGCCTGCCATTGTCACCCTTGGCCACCTGTTTCTTCACTTTCTCAAGTGTTGTTTCCAAACAAACCAGTTGTTGCTGTTTGTCCTTCAAAGCACTCTTGGCTAAGTAATTCATCCCTTTCACTTTCTCAAGTGCTTCATCATAGTTGGTCATTGTGCTTTGCAACAAATCCCTTGTTTTCTTGAGTTTCTTTAGGCCCTCAACCATTTGCTCCTGCTCAGGCATGTCTTCCAATGCCTTTGGTTCTTTGGGGCCACCAGGTGGGTTTCTACCACCCTTTCCTTTACCTTCCTGTTTGCCTTTCCCTTTCCCAAGAGTCAACTTCCCAGTCCCCTTTCCAGGGGTTTGCTCCATGAGCAAAGAGCGCAGCTCCTTTTCCAAGAAGTTATCCCAAGAACCAGCTTCTTCTTCTGTTTGTTGGTACTCTTGGCCTTGGGCCCAGGTCCTCTTGGCAGCGCCAATTGTTTTCCTTTCAAAATCTCTCTCCAGTGCACCCTGCCTGAGGCACAGTGTTTGTCTAGGTCGGTTTGGCCAAACTTGTCAAGGGCCTCCTTCTCACTCATCCATTTTTCTTTCATGGTGATCTCCTGCTTGGTCCCAATGGACCAGGTGACATTGCAGAACTTTGGGGCCTCATCAGGAAGAGTGCAGTCATATGTCCCTTTTCACTTTTGCTTGCCTTGTCATAGGCTTCTTTTTCATCTTTGTTCTCTGGCTGGTTGAGGTGGGTCTGGTGCTTGGACCATGTCCTTGACTTCTCTGCAGGTGTCATGCTTTGCTGAAGCTCTTGCGCTGCCTCCTCTTCATCTTCTGCTGTGCTTGAGATCTGTTGTACTCTCTCAGCTAAAGTCAGCTGGCCCAACTTTCTCAAGTTGTTGGGTTTCAGAATTGATTTCATCGGCTTGGTTCCCTTTCCCAAAGGTTTTTTGGTTGAACCCTTTCCCAAAGGTTTTACCACTTTCCTCTTTGCAGAGGTTGCCTTCATGGCCTTCATGACCTTCATAGCCTTCCCCATGGCTTTGACAGATCTGAGCCAAAAGGCTGTAGGTTGTGATTTGAAGTGATGATTTACTGATTTCTTAGAAAATAGAAATCTGATGAAATCTGATGAAATCATGGTTTTCATCGGACTTCATCAGGTTTCATTAGATTTCATCAGATTTCGATTTTCTAAAACAAAAACAAAATACCCCTCAAATCCCTTGAAACCTTTACCAAAGGGTGCCTTTGATGTGGGCATACCCTTTTCCAAAGGTGTCTTTCATTGCTGTTAAACCTATTTGGATTCCAAATATGTGAACAAATATGTATTTATATATATATAGATATAGTATTATATCTATAGTTTATATTTCTTTGGTTTTGTTTGGCCTGTCTTAGGCATTGGGTCTCTGTGCCATGGTGCTGCCACTGCTTTTACAAAACAACAAATTATGATTGAATCAAAAAAAGGTTCAGTGTTTCTTTTGGTCAGTATTTCTTTTGGTTCAGTGGCAGCACCTTGTGGCCAAAAACATGCAAACCCTTTCTCAAAGGTTTCTCACAGGCCTTTTGAATTACTGTACACCTTTTCTCAAAGGTTACACCCTT